GTCCATGAAATGACTCATAGCTTTACGCGATATTCAATATAAACTTATATGACATACAGTGTATCTTAAAATTGACCGTACACCTGAATGGGCAATTTTTTGAAAGACTGTGAGTCGATATATTTTTGAAATCTTTGCTAGTGGTTGAACAACTCTTTATTGATTTATCAGTATAGCTTTGGACTTTATTGTCAGAGTATGTATGAAGTTTGAGTAATTTCAGTAAAACGGTCGATTTTCAACTTTTTTCATAGTAGGCGGATTTTAATAAAATTAGCGGCATTTTAAAGATCTTTATTATGACTACACATGCAATATTTCAATATGTTTGGCTCACTGTATTTAAAAAAAAACGTTTTTTTTAGAAAATCTATTTTTTTCCAAAATAGCTCCAACTTCTTACAAACTCATTCAAATAAGCCCAATACTATACCGATAACCGATAAATGGTTGATGAACCAGCAGCCCAATATTTAGAAATCTATCTTTTCAAGTTGTGCTCGTACAGCTGTTTTTTTTTTTAAGTACGGACAGCTGTACGCTCAATTTTGAGATACACTGTATGACCACAGACAAACAGACGTAACTCTTCATTGTGTATCTTCGTTCATGCATTTAACGGTTGATTTGAATATTATCAGTTCCGCGAACTACTCGCCGCAGCGCTGGCATCGGATCACTTTGACGTTTCTATACATTCTATAGAACTTTTATGCAATATTGTTTACGAGTTAGCGAGCAAGCTTGTTTTTCGCGAGAAGCCAGAGAGATGTCGTTACTGAGGTTATATGTTTTGAGATACTATGTTTTCAAGAACAAGTTTTTCAAAGAGTTACGTCTGTTTGTCTGTGGTATGACGCTTCATTTATGTGCATCATATTGAACAGAAATTTACACTACTCTTCAAACTGTGTAGAAATGAAAATCAATCAAATTATTTTAAAAGCTATCACAATATCAACTAGAAAACTGCTGAACGATAGGTTTTTAATAGCTGGTATGATCACTTGAACAGTGGCGATGTTGATCAAAAGTTTTTGTTGTACGATTTGTGTCAATTTTCAAGTGGTTTTAAATATTGCAAAAGTTTTCGTTTTCACGAGCTTTTTTATATGAAAAAATATATAAAATTGAACAATATTAAGTTTTTAACACTGTTTTGAATGTTCAATTAAAATTACTAAAAATTACTTTCCTCAACAACTTTGGGTCAGACCTCATTTCGATCAGAAGTAACTTTTTTGTGCTACAATTGTTAAAAAATAACAAAGGCGTAATTTTGAAAAAAAAAATACACGTTGGTCAAATTTTTGCAAAAAAGTGAATGATTGTTCATAACACACAATTATGTAAATTTTCATGCAAATCGGAGAAGGTACAGTTTTGCGATTCATCATTTGGCGTGACAGTTCCAGTTAATGGATTTTATAGAGAGTAAAAATATTTTTCAGTTTCCATAAACTGATAGGCACGGTAGTATTTTCTGTCTTCTTTTTGGCTGATATAACAACAAATTGCACGGATTAACGTAAAACGCCCCATAACATTGCAGCAGGTCAGCAAAGTATTTGAAAACACCATCTATCAATACCGCATTCATTAAAACATTCAACCGAACAACACAACTCCGGTACAGTGTGACATGACAGCAATATCAAAATTGTTCTGGAGACTCTTTTTTCTGATAAGGAAAATTTGTACCGCAGTTTGATTTCAATCGATAATTATAACCCCATGCAAAAATATGTCGAGAGTAACCGAATTTATTTTTTTTTTTTTTTTTAAATGATGTTCTATTAATTTTTTTTCTGTAAAAGCAAGATTTAAAATCGACATTTTGAAACAAAGTGATGTTCGTATAACAAAATTTGCTATGATAAATAATAGTCCAAATTTAAGTTGTAGATGGCAGGACTGGCAGATGTCATTTTCAATGAAAGATCTCACGCGATATTTACAGAGATACTTCTAACACAATCATTGGATGAGAAAACGATGATAGAGATTATCTTCAAAATCTCATCGAATTTTTTGTCATGACAGAACGTGACAGTGTTCTGGTCATTATAATTACTAGCTTATTTAATGCTATTATAGTTACTTGAACCGAGGAAATCATAATAATATATTCACTCTACTGATTACATACGGTTGTTTGCTTAAATTCATCTAAATCAGTTAGAAATGTTGATGTCAAAACCGCCTAAGAATTATTCTCATTAGTGCTTGATCATTGAAAAATGACAAGAATGCTAATGGTAGGTAATTTGTCTCGTGATAGTGAGTGGACCTGTGTTCTCATATCATGACGGCCGTGATATTTACCAGCTTTGGTAGATTGCCATTTAACATTGAATGATTAAATTATTAATTTTCAAACTTTCATAGGATTGAAAAAATATAGATAATCCAATCCAAGTTCGGCACTAGACCAGTTATCCTAGGATAAACTTATTGAAACCAGATACCTTACGTCCGTATACTATAAATATTTAAACCGTTATATTTAACAAATTCTTTTACAGATTTGCATGAAAAGTATGAAAAATTTGCAATGTTTCGTGACGTGAAGAGATTATGTGATGTGGTCGCTGGAAGCTTTTTAAAATAATATGTAATTTTTATGGTAGCTTATTTTTCGAACAAAGTTTGTTTCTCCAAGTGCATTGCGTCTAGAAAATCATTTCCTGAAAGTTAAAAAATATGCATCCTGTAAATACTTGGTGGTTACATAAGGTGAATGGAACATATGCAGAGGATGAAATAAATTCAACCTTACATTGGATGCTAGAGAAATTACTTTTGCGTGTATTGCATTATTGGAATACATCATTGAATTTAATCCAACGCATTAAATATATGGTAATTTTGACTCCAACTGTTTTTAAATCAGATTTAAATCTGTAGCAACACCTTTCAAGATTCATAAAATGGTTTGGGTAGTAGGCACCTCTGGAATTTTTCAAATAATGTGTTACTTTTGCAAGACTTCATAAGCTACCCTGGAATAATATTTTCTAACTACAGCTCATGGTTACTCGAAGATTGGTTCCACTCCAATCATCGATCAATGCACCGGCACACCTATTGTCTCACCAATGGATTTCCAGCTGCACCGGCGGAGGCACACTCACAATTAACAAATCGTAAACCATGTAGTTTCCAGCACATTTACGATCCTAAAGGCCCCAGGAATCAACACAATTTCAAACTGGCACCTTAAAACTTTTATGATCTCGCGTAAAAGTTGTTGGTGGAGGGTATGTGCCGTGTGGTTTAATGCTCCATATATCATCCGAGAAACATGGTTGGCGTGTCGTCGCAGTGGCCATAGATTACCGGAAGCATGGAATGTTGTAATAGAAGAGTTGACCTTGTCCAGAGATGACCTTCGCCTACAAACGCTGTCGATCACTTGCTGCTTCAATGGTTGCATTCCGTTAAACACACCCACTTAGGTGACCTAGTTGATTATACCTAAAGTGTCTTCTGTGCCCTCCCATTTGCCTCCGGATGTCATATCTTCAACCATCCGTGAGCTACGGCGGAAATTATTAATTTGATAAATGCCTAAGGGCCAACTCACGGCCGTGTTTTCTCTTTCCGAGGACCGGAATACGTAGTCAATTCCTCGAATTTAAGCTGACTCGATGGAATAAGGAAACCGACAACGCTTCTTCGGTCATGCACTTTAGTGAGCGGATGCCCTCTGCTTGACTCTCTCTAGCCTCCAATTCAGTGGAATTCACCGTCTCTTGGATGACGACGCGAGGGGCCCATGTTACGAAACCATCAACTCGCTTTGCACGGCGCGCATACCTTTGTAGATTGTGTTTTTGCTCTAAGATTGAGTTTAAGTGAAACCAAAAAACAACGCTCAAAATGTTCACCTCAAGTCTATTACTGCGGTAGCGCGAACAGATAAGCGCAGTATCATTGCTGTCGTGGCCTCACTTTGTCGTCGTTTATTTTTTGCCTATCCTGAAAAATTCAGAGGCCAGAGCCTTTGCTTCCAAGCAGAAGGGGCTTTGCCAAGTCGTGCGAAATTAAAATGCGGAAACCAGTACTTTGAAGCTTCTTCTTTGCCGCCCGTCTGGGCTCATATTGTTGTTGAATTTTGTGTGCCATTCGATCGTCATCGCTTGAAACCGCGTGAAGCCACACAAAATGGCGTGTTTGGGCATGAGTGAGATTGGGATCTCGGATTTCAGCCTGCACGGACAGCAGAATGGCAACGGCGAATAATCACGGTAAACTCTTGCATTAAGGCAAGCAGGTTTGATTTCGCCAAGCTACGCGAAATTGGCATTTTGTGCGCGTCCGAATCGCTTCTCTCGCGCACAACGCCATTCGATTTTTGTTGCTGCTGCTGCTGCTGCTGCTACCTCTACTGATGATGAACGTCCTCTTTTGATGCCGTGCCGCTGCGATGGCTATAGAGAGACAGAGAGATTCGCTTTTGTCCAGACTACAAAAATGGCAGACAGCTTGGATCATTGAATTGATTCAAGTGGAAACCGTGGTGGAAAGGCAGGAGCAACACACTGGCTGAGGTAGACGATGGAGGCTTGAAATACCAGCAACGGTATAAAAATGTTACTCGCGTTTCAGGGGATAAAAGAAACATGGAAAAACTTGTACTGCCAGCCGGGAATACAAATTACTTGAAATGAAAGAAAAAAAAACTAGTGATAAAAACACGAAGAAACCGGCGAGAAAGAGAGAAAATAAAAATTTAATTCAAAAGACATAAATTATAATGATTAGCATCAATTGCACGAATGAAGCCCCAACCGCAGCCATCAGAGGGGAAGAAGAAAATTTAAAATATGCATCAGGAGAGGAAGAAACACGACCGACTTACTAAAAATGTATTGAATTTGGTAGTTTTCTTCATACGAAAGACCATTTAAATTGCTTCCACAATAACACTTCGATCATGAATCTGTACAGTTTTGAGAACCATTGGCATAAAATCAAATCAAAATATTCATAATTACCGTAAGCCGCACTTGCCAGAATGCTACTTCGACCGAGTATGTTTGGTATATTCTGAAAGTAATGAAAGAGAATGTTTATTAGACTAGGTTCTAAGCTGTAACTGTTTCCTGAAAATCATCTCTACTGCATAATGTCACCTCTGATTGTGACCTCTCAAGATGACAGTTACCAGGTGCCGAATGGGTTTCTCCATCTTTTTTTTTCTTTCGACCCAAGTGGTTTGACTCTTGAAACTTTGACTATCGCTTCGCTTCTTCTGTCAGGAGAAGTGTGTTATGCCATGGCTTCAACAGCAAGAATATCTCATATGCATGTTTATTTTCAGCGTCGCCATCATGCTTTTATGCCACCGTTGTGTGTTGTTCTCTGATCGCCGTCTTCCTCGCGCAACCGGCAACGTGTTTTCCCTTTTCCCAAAAGATTTTGTATACTTTATTAAATATTTTAAAATTCTCGACATGTTTTTGCTCTCGCGTCTCACCAGCAACCGGGAGGAAGACAACCACGAAGCAAAGCGGAGAGCACGTCAGCAGCAAAGTTGACTAGTCACCAAGGCAAAACGTAAAGGCATTGTAAGGTCATAAATTAAAACCAGCGACATTCGTGTGTTTCTTCGTCTAAAACTCGATACTCTTATGGTGTGTGCGCCTCCGTCACCGAGGCAGCTCAGGTTGGTCTGTGCTTTTTGCTTCACCTAAACATGGCTTAAGTGCGTGTTATTCTAGCAAACTCAACACATTCCCCGTAGTTCTTGCTTGGCGTCCTTCAGCAAGCAAGATTCTGGTATTATCAAGCAAGATGTGGAAATCGGATAGTGTATTCCATTAGCACCACTCTAGGATTGATTTCAGCAAAAATGTCTCGACTCTGAAACTCAAAAGCCGGTTATCTCCGCACCACTCAGCCCCAGTTCCAGGGATAAAAACGAGAAAATTATACATTCACCAGCAGTGCACTATGTATGCTCCACCATCGGCTGCAATATATTTTCATCGCGACAACAATGTTGGCCGGTTATATATTGCTGACGGCTTGCTTGATTTCAATGCAAAATGAAAAACTGTCACGCCGAGTTGAACCGATTTTATTACCGGAGCACATTTTGCTATACTTTTTGCACTCTCCACGTTCAAACCGGCCGGGCAATGTATATCGCATCATCCACTTGGGTGCGTCTCGGACTCCATCGTCTTTGTCGTCGTAATAATAACGGTATTAACAATCAATGCATTGCCATGAACAAGTCCACGATAGACCGGGAAGAAGACGATCTAGAAAGTCGTAAAAAGCTTAATTGATTCATTAGCATCTGTTTTCTTTCTGATAGTCTCGGTTTTCGAAAATCTATTCCACAGCATCCACCTCGAAATCGAGCCATACTTTTCTCCTTGTTCCAATAGCGAGCGGTAGCCTGCCGTCAGCTATTGCCACATTGTGTGATGACGGGACACTGGATCGGTAGCTGGCAGGCTACTGCGCAGGATCCTTCTCTCGTTGATTGGAGCTTCCAGCGGCGACACTACACATTCCCAATAAAGAAACTCTGTCGCACATAAAACAATGGGTTCACTCACCTTCCTTATGAGCAAATCACTAACTCTGAGCGACGAGTAGTGGTTGTCATTACTTTCTGTAACAAGAAAAGAGAATAGAATCAATCGAAATGAAAATGCTTTGTTTTACGATTGGATAATGGTTGTGTATGGATGGAACAAAAATAGAACTCTACATCGTTCAATTTGATAATCCAAAGTGAGGCATATTATTAATGAAAGGGACATCTTCATTTCAGTTCAGATACAACCGTAACATATAATGGGAACCAGTTTACTTATCAGCCGATCTTCCAGTAGGGTCACCGTTGGGAATAAAGAAAAAACGCACCGTAGATTCATGTCACAACACTTCTTTTCAGTTTTCTTTTCATCTAAGAAAAAGAAAGTTGTGTGCTCTCATGTAAAATAAAACTTCTATCGATAGCGAGCTGCATTTCATATGGGAAGTTTTCCAGTTATGGTTTTTACCCCTCCCCTAATTGGCCAAATGGCTGAAATGATGTTCAAAATAAATTTTCCCATGAAGAACTGTATTAAGAGATTTTAGGCCCATGGTAGCCACTGAATTTAAGAAACTAAATTCCCGTTTTTCACCGGGTGCCTGACATATTTTTCCCGATTTCATATAAACAGCTAAATATGGTAAACAATAATGGTTGGTTTCTGCAATTGAGCGACACTATAAATATAAAACTATAATTCCAAAAGAAGAACGCGACTAATTGTCTAATTTAATTTTAGATAGCTTTCTGAAGCCAGAAATTTGAAAGTCACGGTGTTATGAAAATTTTCTATGTTCCATTTTTTGGAAGGGTACTAGGCCGAATGAGCATTTTAAGGGAATTCAAAAGAGAATTCAAGTGAACCCAACGACAAACATAGTGATGATATCACATGACACACATGATATGACTTATGATCAACTACGTCTAAAAATTACATAAATGTCAATCAAACTATCAGAAAGAATTCTGAGTAGCGCTCCAAGGGAGCATAAAGAATAATTCAAAGAATTAATTAATGGCAGAATTTCAAGTTAATTTGAAGATCGGTTCAAGGGAATTCCTAAGAAAATTAATTAAAATGGAATTTGCATGAATTGGCGAGTGAGAACTCAATCAATTCCCAGTCCGCTCGAGGAATTTTTCGAGTTGGAAAATTTCTCGACTTCCTGGCCAGAGAGTGTGATTCTACTTGCCACACAGCCACACGATTATACTAATGCAAAAATAGTACAGGCATCGAAAGATCTCAATTAATAACTCTGTGAGTGCATCTAGAACAATAAGTTGAGAGGACGCAATGCGATAAACAATAAGCTTGAGCATGAGTATGAGCAGTAGCATGAGCATTGACGACCATACACTTCAGTAGTTGCTACTCCGTGATTGACCAGATTTAGCGAAATTTGCATAAACAACCATATGAATGGGGCTTGGGACTAGCAATCCATTATCAGTGTAAACAATCCGGAGAATCCATATTTTTGAGGTCAATAACGGTGCCGGCCACGTCCACACGGTCATTTGTGAGGGAAAGGATTGTTTTTTCAACAACCGTTGCTACTAGAGACCGAGTATGCCTTTGCACAGTGTTGGAAAAATCATCAATAAAATAATATTTTCCGCTTTCATACGCTCTCAATATCACGCGTGATATTGGAACAAAATATCATGCTTGATATTGATTTTAAAAGCTCCTTTGATATTGCGAGACTATTCACAACGTGCAAAAATTAAGCTGAGCGTTGACTTGACACAAAAATGATTCCGTTCCAAATCGTTTTCTCAGAAAGAGAAAGTATAGTTTCCTATCTCTTTTTAATCTTCACCGATGGCAGACACGAAGGGACTGCTTCCAGCCGTAATTTAAGTTTTGGTTGCATTCGGGTGTGAAGCAAAAATCATTAAACTCAATTTCACCAAAATTTGGTGAGATTTGCAGTTGGTTAGTTTTGTTAGCTTGATATTCCGAACTGCGATATCAGAGCTTGCAAAATCAACCACAGATGTTTGCTTGTTGATTTTTGTCTACGAAAATCAAGCGTTATCTTGAGCTTGGTGAGATTTGATTTTGACGTTGGATAACGTCTTTCGGCAACATACGGGGGTACAAAATTAAAAAAAAAGTCATTTTGGATGCGTTACGAAAAATTAAAAGATTTTGAACGATAATAACTCAACCGTCTCTCGATAGATTTACGAGATAATGGCATCAATCGATTGGAAATATTTCCAGCAAATTGCTGAATGTTTCAAAACTATTGATTTCATTCTGTGAACTATTGAAAAATGGTTAAAAGTAAACCATTGTCTAAAGGTGGTGAAAATCGATTGATTTTTTTATATTCTTATACTTTCTCCAACCGAGACATCAGATGCGAGTATCTGACACCTCTGATATTTTCTGTTCTACTATATAAGCGTCCAACAAGGTCGCCCGTTCCATCATTGTCTATCCGATCGTCGACCCAGCAGCAGAGCAGCAGAGCAGCAGTACCAGAGCAGCGGAAGCAGAGCAACGGCAGCAGAGCAGCGGCAGCAGAGCAGCGGCAGCAGAGCAGCGGCAGCAGAGCAGCGGCAGCAGAGCAGCGGCAGCAGAGCAGCGGCAGCAGAGCAGCGGCAGCAGAGCAGCGGCAGCAGAGCAGCGGCAGCAGAGCAGCGGCAGCAGAGCAGCGGCAGCAGAGCAGCGGCAGCAGAGCCTGGGGGCGAAAGAGCAACTACGCCGAGTGCGTTGGTGCCAGTGCTCCGGTATACTGGGCCGCCGTCATGGAATGCCCAGCTGCTGCAGTTCTCAGTCGGTCGTATTCACCGTCTGCTCCGCAAGGGCAACTACGCCGAGCGCGTTGGAAAAATGGCCCTTTTCAGGGCCACAACATTATCAAGAAAGAGTTTAACGATTAATTTTCTAATGCCTTTCCGACACTTGATTATCGAAAGTTGAATCTTCGCAGAGCCATAGATTCCATTTTTATTGCATTTCTACAAAACTTATTTCAGAATCGAACTCGTCTTCACAGACTGTGTGAAGAAGAACGATGCATCATCGAGCACAACCCGTTCCGTTCCAAAATCGTCCTCATCACAACCTCCAAAACAACCATCTACCCTCTCGACATCTCGAGTGGATTTCCCGGTTCATCATACCACCTAGCGCTGTTCTACTACGCTGTTGGTAATAATATTTACCCGGAGTTCACCGCACTCGTGGTTGAAGCAAAACGCCCGGCATGCAAACCGCTCATCAAAATTGCCATCGCCATCCGGTACCCATGCTCGGCATAACCATCATTCCAAAACCACAACCAAAACGGCCCTTTTCAGGGCCACCAATAATTCGACAAAGAGTTAGTTTTGAAGACAATTATCACAGTTACACATAAATTTGGGGACTATACTGGGGTGTGGGAACGCTGGAAGGGGAGATGTTGTCTGTCTTCAAACTACCAACATCATTCCAAAGCTCCTCCAGGGTGACAGAGTAGAGCAAACCCAACAACATCAGCCCAACAAAACGGCCCTTTTCAGGGCCACCAAACTTTCGCAAAAGAGTTATTAAGGAATATTCCTAAAATATAATATACACAATTAAGTACAACACATAACAGACGTTATCCAACGCCAACCCTGCGGTCGTATCTAGTATACAACCCTTCCAACTTTTTTGATATTTTTTCCAACACTGCCTCTGCATCTCCACGGTTGTCACGAGAAGGACGTTTTTGTTAGTGGGAAGGGTAAATTAGATCTGGATTCACATTGGAAAGTGATGCAATCTTTTAAAACCTATTAAGCAAATGACGCGATCCTATCTACTCAGTAATGTAAAGAGGCTTATGTTTTAACCCACGATCTTCTGCTCAGTAAGCAAAAATGGTCGCTCTAAGGCCACCGTGTCCCTTACATCACAACAAGCTTCGACCGACGATCGTTCATTATCGGTTACAAGAAGCTATTACAATAAAATGAAATCATCCAAAGAATTTAAATCTCCTAAATAAAGACGAAAAAAAATCATCCAATGAAGTTAACAATGTCTTCGGAACCGATTCAGGCGTACGTCACATTTGTCTAAAATTTACTTATTACTTTTCTGAATCGTTCCTCCAATTTCTGTTACTAACGATTTTCTACAATAGAGACCTGGATATATTAACTTCGTAATGTAATGATGCTTGGGTTTTAACCCATGATCTTCTACTAATTAAGCAAAAACAGTTGCTCTATAGCCAACGTGCCCCTTACGACCGACTCAACAAAAAATATATTCAAATGAAGCGACATCTATGAAGGCAGCCAACAATGTCTTCCAAACTGCATCACGCATACATCCCTTCCCTATGCGATACCTATACATCCAACTAACAGCGAATTCCAATCTCTCACCCAGCCGAATACTGACAATGCTAGCCAGCGTAGTACCAGCAAAACCACCACCCTGACTGATAGTGGGAACACGAACCACCCTGGTGGTAACAGCAATAGTACCGGGCCTTTGAGCGTAGCAAGATTAGGCCAGACTTCTGACGACACGGTAGCTTTTTATGTGACCCCGTTTGCTCCAAATCAGAAAGAGGACGACGTAAAACAGCATATCCTTGATATTGCAAATGTTGATTCTTCGTCAGTGAAAGTTTTCAAGCTAGTTTCTCGTGGGAAACGTTTGGACGATCTATCATTTGTTTCCTTCAAGGTGATCGTTTGCAAAACTGTATCCAACGTGGTGGGTGAATGAGATGAATGAGATCTCAAACTTGAAAAATCTTCTGAACACCGGATTCAATATCCCAGATATGGATAAATTTTTCTGAATTATGCGACATAAAACATTTTCAAGGTTTTAAAATTAAAATAAATATTTAAAATTCCAGACAACGGAAATACTCACTTTTCTAAGCCTTAGAAATTGTTAAGGATTCTCATTGGATCATATATGAAAATTATAACAATCTTGAACTCGACAAATTTTCGAAACACTGAGACATTGCTAATTCGTTGAAATTGCAGATTTAACGTTTGTGGCATTCCGTAATCATAAAAATATAAGAATTCACGGGGATCCAATCCCATTCTAC